ATATATATATATATTATACATACTGTATATATAAACATATAAACATTGAAATTGGCTTCTGTCTCTTTTAGAACCTCATACCATTTCTGACACTCCCACTTCAGCTCATCTTCACAGCAATGCGTTTGGGGAGGGGTGCTCTGTGAGGCGGGAGCTCATTTGCAGACTGAGCTCCAGGGAGGAGCTTTGTGTAAATGGGCGGGGCTTTGCACCATTAAGCATTTAGGCAGCTCCACATGGCCACAGGAAATTTAAGGATGTTTCAAACGTGCATGAATGAGTTAAAGCAACACTCTGGGTGTGTTTTTGATGAGGGAATGACAAAACATGATAAGCCTTAAATGGTCAATTCTCCCTTTTAAAATGTTTTTTTTTTCTTTAAAAACTCTTATTAAACCCTTAAAATTATTAGGATTTGCTCCGTAATGGACCATAGATTAGAAATAAGAGCAATTATTTTGCTCCTAATTGCCTAAATCTGAACATTACATGATTAGTTTTGGTTGTTTTAAAGATTTGTTTTAATTTAAAGAAGGATAGAAAGGCACATTATTGGATGGCCGGTGGTAACATGTAACTAAATGCTGCATTACAGAAATAAGTGTTGCTTGTCTGATGAGCTAAAGTTTCTAAAAGCAGAATTTAAGGTATATTTTCTCCTGTCAGGTGTAGTTAGAAACACAAAAAGGGATAAAACGTGTAAAAAACCTGTGATGTTGAACTTTTCTCCTCATAGGTGCGGTTTGTAGTTTGTAGTTTCATCGTTTCATGTTCACGGCTCCAAACCTTTTCTTTACGTTTCTCCTCATCGTCMTAAACAGACCTGTGTTTTCTTTCTGTGGTGGGGCACATCCAGAGGTCTGCCTCCGGTCGAGTCCAGACTCGCCCCGCTGAGCAGCAGGTGAAACCTGTCTAACCTCACTGCTCGGCGACAGCGAGGCGGTCACCTGTGGGCCTCTCTCACCCGCATCCTGAGCTCTCCTGGATGTTCGCAGGGCTTTAGATGAGGAGGATGGGGGTGGGTTTTTTTTGTTGCCGTGCTGAACAGGAACGTAACAAAGTGGGAGTTCAGGTTTGATGGAAGAGGTCACGTCGACATCCAGCTGTTTTATTTTCAGCGAGGTCTCTTTCTCTCCTTTATCCACCAACTGTCACCCTCCCTCCCTCCCTCCCTCCCTCCTCGCTGTTTTCCGCTCTTTACCAAAAGAGGATAAATGCAGCAGCAAATGTTTTCTTTTCTCTTTGTGCTGGAAATTGGCCTCTTTCTCTTTTCAGTTTTTTTTTTTTTTTGTGTGTCTCTCCTCTGAGTGGACGGGAGGTGGAGGAGGCAGGGCCGGCTTTTGTGAAGTTCAGCTCCGGGATCACAGCTTTGTTACTGTTCGAGCCGCTCCAGTAGCGCACACACATGCCTCACATGTGTGAGTTTGATGGTTTATTTCCTGGATGTATCCGTAACGTCTGGTTTCGTTGATGCTCTTTGTTTTTTTCTTTTTTGGGATTAAAAGCTCTGCTCGGCTGTTTGAGCGCAGATGAACCGGTTCATGAGGAACGTTTGGATTCGAACTGAGGAACAGAAACAAACTGAGGGAGAAACAGAAAGCTGAAGGATGAGGAGCTGATGTTCGTTGTGATAACGACAGCAGAAGTTTGAGATGAAGAGATCTGCTTGGAAGTAGAGATAGAAGAGGGAGGAGAGAGGCAGGATCCAGCCCCTCAGGAACAGAACATCACCGGACACAGACAGGAGGGACGTGGTCAGTCCCTTTCTGTGTGTGCGTGTCTGTGTGTGCGTGTGTGGTGAAACCAGACCTACCTCTGATCCCTGCACCACACACACTCCTCCATCTGCTGCCCAGACGTCCACCGAGCTCTGACGCTCCTGAAGAGCTGCTTCATGGAGGTCAGCAGAGCCGGGCTGCGGCGTGGAAAACCTGCGACTGACTAACTTCCTCCTCCATTCTTTTCACCACGGTGGGCGGGC